GCCGAGTGAATCCTGAATTGTAAAAGGAGGGATATAGTTATAGTTTAGTTTTAGGACTTTTTATAATTTGTATCTATGTATCATTTTAATATTTCTCCAAATAAATGATGGGTAAGATCGCTCAAGATAAAAAAAAAAAAAAAAAGATACTTGATATAAATAGCAAAAGCTAAGATCGGCTTTTGCTATTTATATCAAATATCTCAAAGAACTCACACTAACTAAATGTCATATAATTTAAAGAACACAAGTTTAAGTTTATAATTTATTACAGGAATATTCTGAATTAAACTTTTTACATACCTATAAAAATAACTCTTCTATTGATTTACAAACCACACCAACTTTTTCTGAACCTACCTTTGATCACCTTGATACTTCCCATCTGAAACTCCATATTGAACAATCTACTTTGCTTGAGTTATCTGATTCTAGTGAAAATAGTAGTGATAATAATGTTAATAGTTATGATAGTCATAGATATTTATTTAATTTATATGTTAATGATAGTTTTGATACATTTGAAGAAGCTAGAAAAAAACTTGATAGGTATTTGATAGAACATAAGTTTGCTATTAGAAAGGGACGTATGCGTACGCGTAAAGATGGAACAGTGTAGAACACTATCTGGATATGTCAATTATCTGGACAATGGAAACCTAAAAAAATAATTGATTCTGATAATCAATGTAATCATGATACAAATATTACAAATTGCAAATAGCATTGTAATTTTTCAATGGGTAATAAAGCAATAACAATATGTTGTTCTTTACTAAATGATGATTCTATTCACAACTACCCTATAGATGATAATATTAAAAGTAATGCCCCAAAATATTACAGGTTAAGCAATAAAATGCTCAATAAAGTTGAGTTGTATTATCAATATCATATTCAACCTAGTAAGATAATTAACTTACTTGAAAATGAATATCCCAATCACTCTATTAAACCATAAAATATCTATAATGTAATAAGCTGATTAAGAGGTACACATAAAAGGCTTAAAAATGACACTGCTGATTTACTTAGTCATCTCTTATAACAAAAAAAAAAGGACCCTAGTTGCGTAGTTGAACCTGTAATTGGAGACATGGATAGTGAACTTAAAGGGATTTTTTGGCAGTCAAACGAACAAGTACAGTTATTAACAAGGTTTGGTGATGTTTGTTTATTGGATACAACTTGCAAGACTAATCGATATCGCTGACTATTAGCTCTGGTGATTGTAGTTAATAATAACACTAGAAGAAGATTAGTTGCTCAGACACTATTGCTAGATAAATCTATGGACTCTTTTAATTAGCTCTTTACATGTCTCAAAAAAGGAAATCCAGAATATGAGCCTGGTGTTATTTTTTCAGATTTTGATCCTGCAATAACTGCAGCGATTGCTAAGACATTTACAACAACTTACTACTACCTTTGTGTATTTTATATTAATAATAATGTTAAAAAAAAGGCACAGTTAAAACTTGATGAACAATATAATTAGTTTATAAATAACTTTTATGCTGCACGAAATTTATTACAAGAAGCTATATTTGAATGCTGATATAAATATTTAATTAAAACTTACCTAGCTATAGAAAGTTATTTACATAAACTTTACCAATTAAAGCAAAGTTAGGCCCGTTGTTTTACAATACAAGTCTTTAATACTAGAATTCAGAGTACGCAATATGTAGAATGCTACAATAATCTTATTAAGTCTAGTGTTAACTAAATATCATTTTTAATTAAATTAAATAATGTAATTCAGGAGCATCTTGATTCAGAAAATAAGTATAGTCGTTCTTAAGAGACTATAAACTTTGATCATAATAGCAACTTACAATCAATAAGTAGAACATTATTTTCTGAAATTATTGTAATGTGTGAAAATATCTTACTCCTTATATAATTGCTGAAATAAAGCAACAAATTCAACAAGCACTTTGGTATAGGTGTTATTCATATAATATTTTACAAGAACATTATGACAATTAACCTGAACTTACTGATGAATGTATTGAAAACAATTATGACTCACAACAAATACATATTAACTCTATGCTAAACAATGTGTTAGACAATAAAATTCAAGAAGCTTGGCATGTAGTTAAACTTACAGATTTTGCAAATATATACTATATTATTATATTTAAAGATAGTTCATTTTTATATACATGTACTTGGCTAGTTAGTCATGGAATTGTATGCCAGCATTACTTTGCTGTTTTTTTAGAATCAAATATAGCTATTTTCTATATCTTATTTATAATGCAACAATGGTATAAAGATGCATATTTTAATGAACCAGAAGACACTTTCAATAATATTTTACTAATTCAACTACATAATAATAATCCTAATAGACCCGTTATACCAATTCAATCTAATTAAAATATGTTATTTAACTAATTTGATCAACTTACCTCTATACGTAAGGCTTCAGGATCCAAAAAACCCAATAAAAAATTCCTACAAGATCGAATACATTATAGTAAAAGTTATGGATTGTTGCAAACCATTCTAACATTAGCGATAGAGATAAAAACTGATAAAGAAGTAAATGATTAGTGTCATCAATTTATTCAGCAAAAGAAAGAGCTTCTAAAAGCTGATAATGCGTCAAGTCAAGATCAAGAAAATATTATTCAAGTAATTAATCTAAAAGTCATACCAGTTAAGGGCTGACTAAATAGAAGACAGAAGAGTGTACTTGAACGAGAAGCTAAAAAACTATTAAGTACTAATTATGAAAATGCTAATCAATATACTTGCTCAAATTGTTATGCTAAAGGATATAATATTCATTCATGTAATTTGCCAAGGCATAGTTAAAGGTTTAGGTTAAATATAGTTAAAGGTTTGGGTTAAATATAGTTAAAGGTTTGGGTTAAATTAGTTGACAATATATTATTACTTAATGTAGTTGTTATATATACTGTATATAAAAAAATAGATTACTAGCAAATTTAATAAACAAAAGTTTATTTTCTCTATTTAACTATTTTGCTTTGTAGTTAACTTAATAAACAAAGATTTAATTACTCTAATTAACTATCGAATTTGTAACTATATTCAAAAAAAATAATAATCAAATCGAATTGAACTTTTTTCCAAGTTTGGCAAAAGTTCTGTTTGATTTGATTATCAAATTTGGTATATGTTTCCAACTAAGATAAAGCATAACTCGTTCAAGAGTACAACATTTTTTGCTAGGATTTTTAGTATAAAGCACTGCAGGTACACTGACCATAAGCTGAGTAAAGCAAAGTTTATAGTTAACTACATTTTATTTTGATTTTTATATTAATTAAGGTACGATAATACATATTATTTATTGATAAGTAATAGACATATAGTTCTGTTTAATTTGATTATATTATGTTTCCAACTAAGATAAAGCATAACTCGTCCAAGAGTACAACATTTTTTGCTGGGATTTTTAGTATAAAGCATCGCAAGTACATTGACCATAAGCTGAGCGAAGCAAAGCTTATGGTCAACTACATTTTATTTTGATTTTTATATTAATTAAGATGCGATAATACATATTATTTATTGATAAGTAATAGACATATAGTTCTGTTTGATTTGATTATATTATGTTTCCAACTAAGATAAAGCATAACTCATCTAAGAGTACAACATTTTTTGCTGGGATTTTTTAGTATAAAGTATTGCAGGTATACTGACCATAAGCTGAGCGAAGTGAAGCTTATGGTCAACTATATTTTATTTTGATTTTTATATTTATTAAGGTGTGATTATATATATTATTTATTGATAAGTAATAGACATATTATTTATTATTGGTTAGTAATAGGTACAACTATGTATATTATTGTTGATTGATAGATGCAACAATATATTATTTATTATTTATTCTTCATTAATAGGTACAGTAGTGTATATTATTTATTCTTCATTAATAGGCACAATAATATTAATTATTTATTCTTCGTTAATAGACACAGTAATATTAATTATTTATTCTTCGTTAATAGGTGCAGTAGTATAAATCAGATAATATTTATTATTGGTTAATAATTAGCACTGGTTAACTATAACCAGTAACTATTAACAGTCACCTGGTTAACTATAACCAGTAACTATTCATAGTCATCTGGTTATAATTAACTAGTGGTGCAAATTAAAAATATCTATTTTTAATTCATTAAATTTGTCTTAGTAAGCTAATTCTAATAGTATATGTTTTATCTAATTCAAACTAATAGATTAAAAATTATTAATATTTTTCTATTTTTTTTTTTTTTGTTATTAAGATAGCTTATATTGCTGAAAGAATTTTATTAGTATTGCAAACAGAATTATACATTAATAATCTCTACTGTTTGTAATTATATAAAAAATATATAACAAACTATATATATAACTCTATTTTTTTTTTAATATTTTACAGATTAACAATATATATAGTATATACAAATTTAATCTAATATTACTATAATATTTAACTACTTAAGCTAGCTAGCTTATTATAGATTTATTTATTTAGATAGTTTAGATTCTCTTATAATATATTATATCTAATATATTATAAATATTGTAAAGCTAGTTAATCTTATTTTTATTAACTCTTTTCATAATCCTTTTTTCTAAAAAATTTGAAAAAGCAAAAAACAAAAATTTATTGAGAAAGACGAAGAAGTTTCTTTTACAATATAACAGTTTTTACAGAGGTCAACTGCTTTCTCTTAGAGATTCCTTTATATATTCAACATGTGAACTAAAAGTGATATTATACAAGATAACTAGCAGGTAGAGCCTTTGTATAAAAAATTTTAGTAAAGAGACGAAAAGAAGCTCTTTGTTGATGAAGTTAATAAAAGAAGACTTAAGAATAGAGAACAATAAATTATTTTGTTTATATACTCCTTTAGACTTTAGAAAACAATAATATACTACAAGCTTTTTTCTCCAATTTTCCTTTTTTTTCAACAAAAAGTAAGGAATTTGGTTTTTCTCCTCCAAAAGATCAATACTATTTACTCCTTCTATTTTTAAAAAAAACTCTGTAGATGTATAACTTCGTATAGTAAACAAAGTCATATACTCTATTTAACAAAGTTATATATTTTGTATTTATAAGTCATATATTTTATTTATTTATTTAGTCTATTATATGATCTCAGTACTACAGATTCTAAATTTTAAAGATAAATTGTATGTTAGAAAGAAAAACATTCAAGATAGATTATAAGTTGTATAACTTAAAATTTTTAAGCCTAATTCAAGTTATAAGGTATTTGGTTACCTTTTTTTATTTTCTATCCCTTTTATCATGTTACTACTTAACAAAGTTTTTACAACTTAAGATAAGTTTTTCTTTGTTAGTAAGCTTAGTGCTTTTAGATTAGTAACAATTTTTATTTTTTCCTGCTGCTAAGTATTAATATCTTTTAATTTAACTTTAGTTAGATTAGAAGGAACCTGGTTTTGGTAGTCTGATATCATAGTTCTGATCCTAATGACCAGTGCAACAGATCATACTTAGGCACTCTTAGAAGCAGCTAGATAATATCAAACTTATGAAATTAGATAGAATTTTTCTTTAAGTTCAATATATAATGAGTAGGATAACTATATATTAATAATCTAATAAAGTTTTATAATGAGACTGTCAAAAAAAAAAAAAAAACTAGTTAATCTTAAAACAAACTTACTAGAATAGTCTATATTTATTTTACAGATTTACTTAAATTAAATTTTTGTAAATATTTATATAACTTTAGATTCTATTATATTTCTTTACTAGTTAGTTAATTTAGTTTTTTTTTAGTATCTAACTAGTTTTAGTTACTCTTTATCTAAAGACCTCAAAACTTTCTACTTTTATTAGATTAAGTTTTCTTTTTAGATCAAACTTTAACTAATATAATTTTGTAAAAAAGTTATACTACTTTATCAACTAAGAATTTTTATTATATAGATTCTCTACTTATATATCTTATCAAGATTTATTTGTATAATATTATATCATACTTCTAAGTTCAGATCAATTTAGTACAATTCAATTTATAGAAATATATCTTTAAAAACAAACAAAGTTTACTGTAATATATTATAAAATCTAAAAAATTATTCAAATTTGTTAATAGTAAAATTTGAACTTTAGATCTATTATATAGTAGTCTAATAACTTAATTACTATACTAGATTATTAGACTTTGCTAATTATATTTATTTAAAACTATATAGCTAATAAGTTATTAGTTTTTTAAAACTAATAACTTGTTAAAACTAATGTTATAGGATAGATTTTAGCATAATTTATATTATATTTTTATTAGTTATATTTATTAGCATTTTAGTATTATTTCT